CAACTTGTCACAGCCGGCTGAACCTTCTTAAAACCCTTGCTCATCTTTCATGGGGAGCTGATCGTCGAACCCTCCTTCGCCTACATTCCACCCTTGTCTTATCGAAACTTGATTATGGTGACCAGATCTATTCAGCGGCATCTCCTGCTACTCTCTCTAGCCTTAACCCCATTCATCACCAAGGATTACGTTTATGCCTTGGTGCTTTTCGCTCTTCCCCTGTCGAGAGCCTCTATGCAGAAGCGAACATTCCATCCTTATTCGATCGCCGTGATGCCCATTGCCTTTGCTAATATGTACGCTCTCATGATCTCCGCAATCCTTCCATTTATAGAATGGTCACTGATATTAGTAGACATTCTTTATTTGTTCGCCGCCCCTGTTTACTCCATCCCTTCTCTCTTGGCCTTCATTCGCTCGTCTTCTCTTCAATTACCACCTTTCTATGTACATGTAGCATCTCACTTTTCCCTACCCCCCTGGGAAGTTCCAGCTGTTTGAGTCTGTTCTTTCTTCTCCCTTGCTCGAAAGCCCAACTGTCTATGGTCGCTTCCCGCTCTCTTTTTCTTGACCACTTTCACTCTCATTCTCATGCCATTGCTGTGTACACAGATGGCTCTAAGTCTTCTGACGGCGTAGGATTCGCAGCAGTGTTTCCGGACAGCGTCGTACAGGGCATTTACTATCTTCGGCTAGTATTTTTACTGCTGAATTGTATGCCATCCTTACAGCACTTATCCGTATTGCATCTATGCCTGTGTCATCATTTGTGGTTGTCTCAGACTCCCTTAGTGCTTTACAGGCTATACAGAAATTTGATACACCTCACCCCTTAGTCCTCCGTATCCAACTTTGGCTACGCCGCATCTTTACCAAGCATAAAGATATTGTTTTTTGTTATGTCCCTGGTCATGTTGACGTACAGGGCAATGAACAGGCAGACACTGCTGCGCGGTCAGCAGTACATGACCTACCAGTTTCATGTAGAGGTATTCCATTTACGGACTATTTTGCTGCAATATCTTCCCAACTTCACCCCGTTGGCAACAACGTTGGTCTACTATGCTCGGCAACAAACTTCAATCTATTAAACCGAGTATTGGTTACTGGCCGTCTCTTATCACCAGTGGTCGAGGTTGGGAGACTACTCTCTCCCGTCTTCGCATTGGCCATACTCGTCTTACTCATGGATATCTCATGGAGAGGCGCCCTGCTCCTCTCTGTGAGAATTGCCAAGTTCCATTATCAGTCGGCCACATTCTGTTGGACTGCCCACTTTATCAACGAGCACGCAGAATTTACCTCCGTCGTCGTCTTCGCTCTGCTGCTCTCTCTTACCTTCCCTTCTTGCTGATGGACCCACCTTTCATCCAGACTCTCTCATTGACTTTTTGACAACAACTGACTTTACTTCACAAATTCTGATACCTTCAGCCCTTTCTACTTCAATCTCTTGCTACCTCTACCCCGTACTATCCCTGCCCCGCTGTTTTCTGTAAACCTACTGATCATCCCTCCTCCCTTCTGCCATCCAATACCCTCGCTTCCTTCCCTACCCTGCAGCGCTGTATAGCCCTTGTGGCTTAGCGCTTCTTTTTGATTATAATAATAATAATGTAAATTTTTTTGCCTTGGCTGGTAAGGTGTTGGGACTTCAAGAGCACATCATGTCACATCTCTAGGATGCGATGTATTCTGGCAGTCGGCTAACGTAAGGGCTGCATCTTGGTGAATGCATACACTACATCCACGTGCTTTTAACTAATACTTGCCAACAGGTATGGGTATTTTGTATAAATTAAGCATTGAAAGGTACATGTATAAATTTTGGAAAACATTAGTTATGAAAAATGCTGTCTAGTGGCTATGACTTATTCTTAATAAAAAATTGTGGCAACCTGGTAGGTACTGTTGTGATCCTGCAAGCAGATTGTAATACCCCCCCATCCCCCCTTCCCATTTTTAAGGTTGTTTAATTACTATAAAGTGAGTATTGCCAAGACTTATGTTCCCAGATTCACACCTCTGTAGATAAACTCAGATCATCCTAAGATTCACCATTCATATTTATGATTGAACAGTTATAATATAAAAAAAAAATGTCAGAGGCTTCTCAATATGTTTTGTAAAGGTTCATTTCATCAAAACATGTACTTGTAAACTGTCCAACATTTATAAATTTTCTTTTTGTTAGGGGCTGTCTTGAATACAGTAGTATTCTAGCCTGGAGAGAAAAGGGACTTGCAGTATAATCATTGGCTCATCATCCCTTATTGTGAACAAGCTCATTATCTAGCCTTTAACTTTCTTTCTGTAGCAGCAGTAATATGGTTATGATTCCTGAGTGAGAAACCTGACATCACTCCCAACTGCCCATGAAGCATTCACTCTGTTGAATGTTTGGAGTTTCTTAGATATGAGAGAATGGGTCTATGCAGTGAGTGTTCACTGCATAAAAAAAAAAATGTGCAAGAGATGCATGATGGGAAAAGCAAAACTCTTATCTTGTGTTTGGTTTAAAATAGCAACTGAGTTATTTTCTATGATGGTTTTATAGCAGTTTTTGGTATTTGATACTTCTGAAATAGAGATGAATTTGGTTGGTTTCAGGATGAAGTAGCTTAAATTAGGCTCAAAAGCAGTGGTAATATTAGATTTTTGGCAATTTTTATTTTTTCTGAGGGTGAGTAAGGCTTCCCTACACTCCCTGGGCCTCTTTAAGGGGGACATTTTGTTGTGGTGAAGAGGCTGTTGGTCTGAGGAATTAGACGTTTTGGTCTTCCTCAGATCGAACCTAATTACCCCCAATCTCCTCTTCCTTATCCCATCCTCCCTTTTTTTTCCCTCTCTCATCCCTCCCCTTATCCTATCCCATTTGTAGCCTCTGGGGTCCTCCCCTCTGGCATTACGGTTCTAGGTAGGGGAGGAAGTGTGTAGGAGTTCATCCCGCTCCATTGAGGTTCCTCGGGTGTGGTGTATAGTTTGCTGTGGAATCTGGATTGTCTAGAGGCACCCTGCTCCCTTTCCGGATTTCCAGGAAGTGAGCGGGGTGTCCTACAGATGATGGGTGTATCTCCAAAGGCTGATTGTCAGTTCTGGGAGGTGACAGCCAAAGGAGGTATGCCTTGTGGTGGATTTCCAACTGCCCCCTCTTTTGTCCACCGAGGTGGCTTGGTAGATGTGAGGTTGCTAATCCGGAGCGCTGGTTTACTGGCATGAAGGGTGGGGTATGGCACGGGTTCCATGCTGCTTCTGCACTACTTACAGGTTCGAGGTCCTCTTGCGTGAGGGGGGGGAACTTTCAGCCCTTTCATGCTTCCTAGTGACTGTCCCTCTGCTGTCCCCTTTTTTTTTAACAAGAAAGAAGTACCACTATCATGGAGTCTTCATTCTCTGATAACCCTCCTTCCCCCAGGCCACTTTCTGTTCCCACATCCTGTTTTGACCCGGCTTCATTATTGGGCCATTCTCTAGACTTGCCATACCTCTGTACCTTCCGCTTGTGACGCTTCGTCACCTGCTCTAGGTGATGGGGCTCCGCCCATTTCTGTTAGTGCCTCTATCTCTTGCATGCCTTTAATTATGTGTCCGGCTTCCCCCGAATACGGTACGACAGTTTTCGGATCGCCCACCTACCTCAGGTTGGGCCGCTGGCAGTACTACACTTAAACATTCCAGACCATTTGGTGACGGTGGTTCTTTGATGTCTGCTCATTCCACCCAAAAACGACCTACGCGACACCCACTTCCTTTATGCACCATGTTTACAAGTACACAGTGGACTAAATTCTTTTCCCTGCAACCAACATCTCCAACTGATTATCTTTCTGACCATAGTACATGTATTGGCAAAGCTCTTTTAGGACATGTTGGCCAAAATATATCCTTTCACACTCTTTGAAGCGGTGCGCTCATCGTTACAAACTGGTTGTCTCCCACTGAGGCAGGGTGACCCAAAAAAGACAAATACTTTCACCCTGATTCATTCGCATATGCTCGCTGTCTTTGCAGAGATGCCCACATGAGTTTACATGTCACTCCAAACTGCCAATATCTCAAACCCCTCCTTTAACCCTTAAACTGTCCAAGCAGTTCTACGTTCACATGCGTAGTGCTCCAAAAGTAGATCTACATTTTTTTACATATTTTCAAACAAAAAAAAAAAGTAGATCCAAGTTTTTTACGTGTTTTCAAATGTAAAAAAAAAGATGATCTACTTTTTTTTTTTTTTACATACTTTCAAATGTTGAAAAAACGTAGATCTACATTTGGACAGTTTAAGGGTTAAAGTGCAGGCATTGTGCTTCCCACCTTCAGGACTCGAGTCCGGCTAACCAGTTTTCTTGAATCCCTTCACAAAATATTAACCTGCTTACACTCCAACAGCTAATCAGGTCCCAAAAACCATTCGTCTCCATTCACTCCCATCTAACACGCTCGCATGCCTGCTGCATGTCCAAAACAGAAGGTATACTAACAAAATAGCTAAGAATTTGGGCAAATGGAGCAATGGAATAGACTGAAAATAGGACTTGGTGAGCAAAATCGCCACTGTAAATTGCACCCACTGCTAGCTTTGCTCCTGTGCAATTCCATAAGTTTTTTGATTAAGTTTCATACTTTTGACTTCATTACCTGCAGAGAAAGATTGCATCATTTCTGAAGGATCTTTTTTTTTTTTTAAGTGCTTACAGGAATGAATATTTGGGTGTCTAAATAGTGAAAGGGTTAAGAATAGTTCATTCATTGAGAAAGGGCTATAGTGTATCCTTGGAGCTACACTTTAAGTTCTCTCTCTACATTAGATATCCTTGTTAGATATACATTGTCACAAATGAAAGATATTCTACCAATTTTAAATGCTATTCCCCTGGTAGGGATTTATTTATTTTTTAATTTGCTCTTGCAAAACATTTAAGATGGATTTTGCTGCTAATTCTAGTTACATTATGAAAATGTATTATTATTAATGAACTAAACTTGATTTTTTTTTTTTTCAGGCTTTGAAGGAGAAAGAAACTGGAAATGCAGCTTATAAAAAGAAAGATTTCAAAACTGCATTAGAGCATTATGATAAAGCTATAGAACTAGATCCTACTGAAATGACTTACCTTAACAATAAAGCTGGTAAGATCTTGCATAAAGAAATTGCTTACTACTACTACTTTGTAACTTAATGAAATGCTCCTGAAAATAGTGCTTACATAGTTTTTAAATTCTGCTATTTTGGCATTGGAATAGGTTAACCTTGAGAGCAATGTGTGGTGTTAATCATGCAAAGAATTTGGAGAGAAAAAATTTGAAAGGCATCACGGGGTGACAAGAGTATAATTCGAGGAGCTGAGGTGGTTTGGGCATATAGAGAGTATGGGCAAGGATAGGATGACAGTGTGTCAGTCTGGGGGCAGAAAGTAGAAGGGAAGGAGCACAAGAGGCTTTGAGTTTTAGGGGCTTAACCCTTTGACTGTTTTGGTCGTATATATACATATCTTATGAGGTACCGTGTTTGACGTATATACACCTGCCATCCGACTTACGACCAAGTTCGGTTCCGAGAAACCGGTCGTAAGTTGAAATGGACGTAAGTTGAACTTTACTACTGAATATCAACGTAACATTTTTGTAATGACCTTATTTTATTGTTTTATTTTGGTATTTCATGTTTTACTTTACTTTTTATGCTGTTAGTACTGTATTTTATACTGTAAGGTTTAGGATAAACACTTGTTTATTTCCCAGAAATTTGGCATAAAAAACACGGTCGTAAGTCGAGTCGTTGTATGTCGAGCAGGTTGTAAGTCAGATGGTAGGTGTATACTCATAAATTCTAGCGGCTTCAAATCAAGCAGGAGAAATCTGGTAGGCTCACATGTGAGAGAATGGGTCTGTGTGGTCAGTGTGCACCATATAAAAAAAATCCTGGAGCAGGCAGCGCATAATGAGAAAAAAACAACTCCGACTGCTTCTTTTAACCCTTTCAGGGTCCAAGGCCCAAATCTGGAGTCACGCACCAGTGTCCAAGAATTTAAAAAAAAAAAATTGTTATTTTTTCTTATGAAATCGTAGAGAATCTTTTTGTGAAGGTAATAAAACAAAAAGTACGAAATTTGGTGGAAAATTGATGAAATTATGCTCTCGCGAATTTTGATGTGTCAGCGACATTTACGAATCGGCGATTTTGCCGACTTTGACTCCCATTTTAGGCCAATTACATTATTCCAATCAACCAAATTCTTAGCTGTTTCACTAGTATTACTTCTATTCTATCGATTGAGCACAAGAAATCGCCAAGTCAACTGTTTCAACTACAAAATAAAGTGATCGGAAATTGTTAATTTGGTCAATTTAACACAAAGTTCAAAATATTCCAATTTCAAAATAGGGTCCAGAATAAACAATGTAGGCATTCCTGGCACTAACTAACGTTTCCTCTGTTCATTAGTTATGTTTTGAGGCTTTACAAATAAATTCCATTTTGATTTTTTATTCACACCAAAAAATAGAAGATTTACTGTTATGCAATACTGTAATAATTGTTATAAATATCATCACCATATTTGTGAATGTATATTAGACCCACCAGCTGACGTGTATTAGACGTGTGAGGTCATTTGTTTACTCTGGAATATCGGCAAAAATTTAACATTTCCGCTACTTTGAGCTCAGTTTCAAGCCATTTCCAGTGCTAAAACCAATCAAAATCATCTCTATTTCTGTAATACGTCTTCCATTCTATCAAATGAGACCAAGAAATCGCAAATACAACTATAAAAAACATACGAAAAAACACTGCAAAGTTGCTGTTTTAATCGAAAAATCATGATTTAAGTTTTTTTCTCTCGTTATACACAGTGTGCTGCAGGATCTGTTTTATGTGGTGCACACATACCACATAGATGTATTCTCTTATATCTAGGCCCAAATGTACCACTCACAGTTTATCAGAGTGAGCTGAGCTCATGGCGTAGATCTACGGTTTGGACCCTGAACGTAAAGCCGTAGATCTACGGGACGGACCCTGAAAGGGTTAATTAAAATGCCGACTTTGTGGTCTATTTTTGTATAGCATTTTATGGTTGTATTCTCGTTTTCTTGGTCTCATTTGATAGAATGGAAATCATATTATAGAAATAGAGGTGATTTTGATTGGTTTTCTTGTAAAAAGAACCTGGAAATGGAGCTCAAAGTAGGGGAAATGTTTGATTTTTGCCGATGTTCAGAAGTAAACAAATGATGTCATTGTCCAATAAATGTCCAACTAGCCATTCTAATATGCAGTCATGAATGGGTTGACATTATTTGTTCAATTATTACAGTATTGCAGTAGTCTGCATAACAGTAAATATTCTATTTTTTGTTTGAATAAAAATTCAAAATAGAAAGCAAGAGTAATATCAGAGGGGCCTGGAGATGACTGATTTTAGAGCCAGGAATGTCTGCATTGTTCATTCTGGACCTTATTTTGAAATTGTCATATTTTTTAATTTTCGTGAAATTGGCCAAATTGCAAATTTCTGACCACGTTATTAGGTAGTTGAAATCGGTAAATGGGCAGTTTCTTGTAGTCACTCGATAGAAAAAAATGGAGTTCTAAAGAAATAGCCGAGTTAGGTCGACTGGAACAATGGAATTAGCCAAAAATAGGGCTCAAAGTGGGCGAAATCGCCGATTTGTAAATATCGCTGAGGTCACTAACTTCACGAGAGCGTAAGTCCGTCAGTTGTCCATTTTTTTTTTTTTTTTTTTTTTTTTTTTGCGCGACACCAGGAGACACCTCAGGATTGGGGGTTGCGACAGTCAAGGGGTTAACCTAATCCAGAAGATGTGTGGAGGGAGGGGGTGCGTGTACACTTTCCTATTTGTAGTTGCAAGGGTCGAGAAATAGCTCCTGGCCCCGCCTCTTCACTGATTGCTACAAGGTCCTCTCTCTCCCTGCTCCATGAGCTTTATCATACCTCATCTTAAAACTTCTTATTCTTATTCTTATTCTTTTTTTTTCCTGTTTGGAGTGTGAGCAGGGTAATATTTAGTGAAGGGATTCAGGGAAACCGTTTATTTTCATATAGTCGGACTTGAGTCCTGGAAATGGGAAGTACAATGCCTGCACTTTAAAGGAGGGGTTTGGGATATTGGCAGTTTGGAGGGATATGTTGTGTATCTCTATACGTATATGCTTCTAAGCTGTTGTATTCTGAGCACCTCTGCAAAAGCAGTGATAATGTGTGAGTGTGGTGAAAGTGTTGAATGATGATGAAAGTATTTTCTTTTTGGGGATTTTCTTTCTTTTTTTGGGTCACCCTGCCTCGGTGGGAGATAACCGACTTGTTAAAAAAAAAAAAAAATCTTAAAACTATGTATGGTTCCTCTTTTTCAAGGGTGCTCCTTGGTGCAGTGAAGAGGCTCTTGGTCTGAGGAATTAGACCTTTTGTTCTCCTGCCTCAGACCAAACCTAATTACCCTCCAATCCCCCCCTTCCGTATCCCATCCTTCCATTTTCCTTTTCCTTCTCCTCCTCTTCCCCATCCCTCCCTATTCCCTTCTTATTTTCAGTCTCTGGGGTTCTTCCCACAGGCACTCTAGTTCCTAGGTTGGGGGAAGGGTACTGGGGTCCATCCCATTCCATTGAGGTCCTTGGGAGTGGTGTGGTTTGCCATCTAATCTGAATCACCTGGAGGTGTCTCGATCCCTCTCCGGTCTCCCAGGGGGTGCCAAGAATGTCTGTATTGTTTATTCTGGACCCTATTTTGAAATTGGCATCTTTTCAAATTTGTGTAAAATTGGCCAAATTACCAATTTCTGACTACTTTACTGGATAGTTGAAGTCAGTAAATGGGCAGTTTCTTGTACTGAATTGATAGAAAAAAATGGAGTTTTCGGGTGATGGGTGTATCTCTGGAGGCTGCCGGTCGGATTCCAGGGGGTGGTGGCCAAATTAGGTATGCTTTGTGGCGGGTGTCCGGCCGCCCTCTTTTGTCCACCAAGGTGGCTCAGCGGATGTGAGGTTGCTATCCTGGATTGCTGTTTTACTGGCATGAAGATTAGGGTATGGCACAGGTTCCATGCCGCATCTGTGCTACTTGCAGTGCTGGGGTCCTCTTGGGTGTGGAGGGGTATCTACGGCCCTTTTTTGCCTCCTAGGAGTTATTCCTCCACATCCTCCCCCCCTCCCCCACCTTTTTTTTTTCTACAAAACAAGAAAAGTGATGTAACCGTGGAGTCCCAGATCCATGAACCTGCTTCCCCTGGGTCCCATACTGATACCGCACCATGTTCCGACCCTGCCTCGTTATTTGACCACGCTTTGGAGACTCCTAATGCTCCTGTACCTCTTGCTGGTGTTTCATCACCCTCTTCAGGTACCAGGTTTTGACTGACTCCTTCGCTGCATCTGACCTCCGCTCTTCTTTGACTATACTTCCAGCTTCTCGCTCTACGGTGCGGCAATTTTTGGATCACCTGCCTGTATCACATCAGACTCACTCCTAAACGCCCAAGACCATTACCTGATGATACTTCGCTACCTTCTCATTCTTCTCAGAAACAACCGGCACGACACTTGTTCCCTTTACACACTATGTTTCAAAATACACAATGGACTAAGTTTTTTAGTCTACAGCTGACTTCCTCTACTTTCTGACAATAGTATTGGCAAGGTGCTCCTATACCATGTTGGTAGATATATATCCTTTCATGCTCCCAAGAGTGGTACACGCATCATTACTGTCCAGAATGCTAACCAAGCTCAGTCTCTCTCCTTACAACTATCAATATTATTCCTGTAATTACTATTGAAAAACTTCATTCCCTCAATTCTTGTAGTGGTACTGTCATTCTACCCCATACCATTGTCCAACAGAATTTCCAGACATATGGCAATGACATTCTGGAACAGCTAGAACTCCAATACCTCCCAATCCTCAAAGTAGACACTACCTTCAGATTTCTTGTATCTTTCTCTTTGGAAATCATGGCTTATTTACAGTGGAATATCCACGGCCTCAGAGGTAACCGGGAGGAGCTCCAGGTGTTGCTCTCTGTTTTCCCGTCTGTGTTTGTTTACAAGAACCCAAATTACACTCTGCTGTTATCCATCCCATCTCAGGCTATGATTTATTATATTCATCAGG